CGGGCGACCGCGCGGGCTTAGGAACGGCCGCGGCGCGGTCGCAGAGGTTGGCGGGAAGGGCTTAGGTGCAGAGGGCTCCGGGCCGGGACCCCATGCCTGCAGGTACACCTGGGGTAAAAGCGTGAGAGCCGCCTTTTCTCTCACTGCCCCCTGCGCGCTGGCCTGATGCGGTGGGTGGGGGGCATCGTGCAGCCTTTTCCTCATGTAGGCCACCTCTCTTCCAATTACACGTACTGCTCTTGCCTGACTGTCCCGGTCGCCCACCTGGTGCATTAGTGCTGTGGGGTCTGGCTGCACGCGAGGGGGCTCCAGGAACTTTGTTAGCCAGAGTTGGGCCCTGGGGGGGCATCCTAACCAGACTTCATTTGGGGTCTGCCAGGCCGAGGCCAGCAGCTGGGAAGTGGTGAGGTCTCCTGGGTGTGTGCCACCCAGGGGACCAGCTGGGTGGCCAGCTAGCCCTCCCTGAGCAGCCCCTCTGAACTGCAACCAGAGCAGGGGTCACTAAGAGGACCAGTAGTGACCAATTTTCTCCCATAGGCAATGATTTAGTCCTTCCTTCCTTTCACCCGGTCATGCCACCTCGCCCCAGTCCCTTTCTCTGGAGCCCTGTGTGCCAGACCCTAAACGAGGCTCTGCTGCAAAAGTTCTGGATGCCATCTGTCCTGGGGCAGCTGTGCCTCTCTGAGGGGAGCGGGGCACCTACCCGTGCCTGATTGGGTTGCCACAGGACAGTCACATGAGGCTGGGAAAAATCATCACAGTGTCCGCAAGACAAACGAAAAGGTGCACTTGTTATATGTGACCCTCATGTACTATATGTGATCCTGTGACCAGGATCTATCCTGGTTTAAATAGGAAAAAAAGGGCCGGACCATGGCTCACTCGGGAGAGTGCGGTGCTGATAGCACCAGGGCCACGGGTTCGGATCCCATATAGGGATGGCCGGTTAGCTCACTGGGTGAGCGTGGTGCTGACAACACCAAGTCAAGGGTTAAGATCCCCTTACCGGTCATCTTTTAAAAAAAATAAATAATAAATAAATAAATAGGAAAAAAAGTTAAGGTAAACAATCTTTAAAAAGTTTTACAGGGGGCCGAGCCCGTGGCGCACTCGGGAGAGTGCAGCGCTGGGAGCGCAGCAGCGCTCCCGCCGCGGGTTCGGATCCTATATAGCGATGGCCGGGGCACTCACTGGCTGAGTGCGGTGTGGCCAATCTCACAAAAAGACAAAAAAAAAAAAGTTTTACAGGGCAGGTCTGTGGCTCACCCAGGAGAGCGTGGTGCTGACAACACCAAGTCAAGGGTTAAGATCCCCTTACTGGTCATCTTTAAAAAAAAAAAAAAAAAGTTTTACAAATAGTCTTGGGATGCTTGTAGAAAGTGAATACAGATGGATATTTAGATGATGCTGACAATTTTTGTTAAATTTTCTAGTTGTGTCATGGTGCTGTGGTTAGAAAGAACAATCTTTTTTTAGAAGATACATGCTAAAGCAATGTGTCTGATGCCTGCAACTATTTCCAAGTGGCCCTGCAGACATAGCTAGATAGGTAGATGATGCACATGTGGTCGTACTCACGACCTAGGTGCAACATGACCGCATCTAGGTCATGACATCTAAGCACTTGCTGCACAGTTTTTTCACCATTTCTGTATGAATGAAAATAACCTAATAAAACAGTAGAGGTGGGGGAGTTATTGCGCTGAAACTGCCTGGCCAGGTGGGTTTTTGCAAGGAGACCCACCCAGGAGGGTGTAAAGGCAGGCTTGCTGCTCCTTGCCCACCTGAAGGCACCCTCCCTGGGCCTCCAGTACTGACCTCAAAGCGGCGGATCTGCCCATGGCTGCGCGGCACAGTGAGATCTGCTCCACTGCGTTCTGCAGCTCCTGGCTCTTGGCGCGCCTGCCATGGATGATTTGATCCCGCTTTTCCTCCTGCTCACGCTGTTGGGTCTCTTTGAGCAGGGCCAGCCGCTCACGCAACTCCACAACGGACATCTCCCCTTCCAGTCCATACCCGGGGATCTGCAGGGTGGTGAGGGAAGCCCAAGCTGGGAGCTGTGCTGGGCCCGGGTGGAGAGCATGGGCAACCTTCCCCTCGCCAGGAGCCGGCCTCCCCTCTGCTGCCGAGCTGCCTGTGTAACGTGCGGGGCCCCGCTCTGCAGCCCTACACTAAATCGGGCTAGCTGCACATCTCAGCTTGGTGCCCTGCAGGCCCCTCCACTGTGGTAGGTCTCAAGTGGAGCTTACCACTGCCTCCCCAGCCAAGATCCTGGGACCTGGGGCCAGGCCAGCCCTGCAGCCAGCTCCCATGGCCCTCCCAGGCCTGCCCCCTCACCAGCCGCCAGCTCAGCTCTTCACCGTGCTTTCTCACACAGGCCTCCAGGAGGCCCTGCTCTTGGCCTGCTGCTCTGTCCAGCCCTGGGCCGTTGTACAACTTTGCTCTTCCTACACTGCCCTGGACCTCCTTCAGCAAGCAGCTCTCAAGTAGTCTCCTCCATGAATCCTACCTTGCCCATCCCAGAGGCCCTGGCTCATCGTCCCCAGGGATTACAGAGGTCCAGCTCAGTATCTGTCTCTCCTGCAGGACTGTGAATTCTTGGAGCCAGACCCAGGCCTGCAGCACAGTGGGTGCTGAGTCCAAAGCTAGTGATGATGGGCCGAGCCCGTGGCGCACTCGGGAGAGTACGGCGCTGGGAGCGCAGCAGCGCTCCCGCCACGGGTTCGGATCCTATATAGGGATGACTGGTGCGCTCACAGCGCTCACTGGCTGAGCGCGGTGCTGCCGGTCCCAAAAAGGACAAAAAACAAACAAAAACCCAAAGCTAGTGATGAGCAGCCAGGTGGATTTCAGGTGTGACAAGAACCATGTTTGGCCTTGCTGGGGATTCTGGACATGGCCTCCCGTGGCAGTACCAGCACGGTAATGCACAAGGGGGCTCCCCGAGGGCGTGGCCTCCGGGGGCTGTGTCCTTACCTGGGTCAGGTCCACAAGCTTGCCCTTGCGCGTGGGCTGTGTCTCCAGTGCACGTAGCTGGAAGATGAGCTTACAGCGCCGCCTCTGCTCCTCCTTGGCCTCCTCTGCGCTGCGCTGCAGCAGCTCCCGGCTCTCTTCTGTCACCTCCTGAACTTGGGGGCCAAGTGGGGCATTGAGGGGACACCTCCTCCTGGGAGTTCCTCGGTCAGGACCTGCCCGACCTGGGCTCTGCTTCTCGGGCTCTCCCTCCGGGGCATGTGGCTCTCACTGATCACAGCAGCTCACTCAGAGCAGGGTGCTAACCCAGGACCCGAGCGGCAGGACCCCGTGGTACCTGGCTCCCTGCCATACCTATCTGCCGTCGGCACTTCACAAGCTTCGTCTGAGCCACTTTGACGTTTTTCTGCGCCTCCAGCACCTGCTGCACCAGCTCCTTCATGGACCTCTCCTCCTGGAGCTGCCTCTCAGCTCGCTGAAACATCAGCTGGGCCGTCTGCTCAGACAGCCCACCGCCATGGTTAGAGCCGGGGTCCGTGTGGCCCTCCCTCCCCAGCCCCATCCAGCCCCAGCCCAGGGACCGGACCCAGCCCCTGACCCTGAGTCACATTGGAACCCAGGTCTAAGCCCAACAGCTCCTGGTGGCCCCCCCACCTCTTGTCCTCCTCTCTTTCTCCCAGTGTGGACCTGGGGGTGAATTTCTGTAATTTTAAGCCACCCAGTTTGTGGCACTTTGTTGTGGCAGCCCTAGAAACCTAATGCACAAGGCAGCATAGGATGCTCGCAGCAGAGGAAATGGGGTGGGGACTCTCTGTACTATCTTTGCAGCTTTTCTGTAAATCTTAGAACTGGCCTAAAATAAAAAAGTTTATTTTAAAAATTACTTTTGAAACTATGTAATAAGTTGGACAAATGCTTGTGTGGAAATATGAGGTTAAAAAAAAAAGTGGACTACCAAAATATATGGGTAGTTTTATCTCAAGTAAGTAAACAACGAGCAAAGAAAGAAAGGTGCTGGGGCCGACCCCGTGGCTCACTCGGGAGAGTGCTGCAGTGGGAGTGCAGCAGCACTCCCGCCACGGGTTCGGATCCTATATAGGGATGGCCGGTGCACTCACTGGCTGAGCGCGATGCGGGCAACACCAAGCCAAGGGTTGCGATCCCCTTACCGGTCACAAAAAAATTAAAAAAAAAAAAATAAAAATAAATAAAAAATAAAAGAAAGAAAGGTGCTGGACCCAGGGCATGGTCTGTCTCCTGGCCCTTCACCTCAAGCTGAGTCCCAGGGTTCCCCAGCTTGGCCACACTGTTGGGCACAGGGTGGCAAAGGACTGGGGGCCATGGCACAGCAACAGCTAGGAGCCTCATGTTGGGAATGAGGAAAAGTAGACGAGAGGCCAGGCAGCATCTCTTAGCTCTTTGTAAATGCAAGCGGAATCGGCAGGGGTCAGGGGTGCCCAGGTCCATGGCAAATACACCAGCTTGGGAGTAAGACACACAGGGCTTTAAGTTCTGCCTCCATCCACCCTGACCAGCTAAGTGACCTTGGACAAATCGTGGGCCTCCTGGGTTTCAGTGTCTTTCCTGGGAAAATGAAGATGGCTACACCCAACTCCTCGGGGGCCCCAGGTGCAGGGCCCAGCATGGGGTGAGTGCTCAGACACCCGCATCAGCGCAGCGTCAGGCATCCGTGGAGAGAGGGGACATGTGGGGAAGAGGAAAGGGAACAGGTGCACAGCGTGCATGGCAGGGGCATGGGTAGGCACAGGCGTTCAGTGCCAGCTGGCCAGGCCCGCAGTGAGGTTAGGGCCGCCAGGGCGGTGAGCCGCGGAGCAGGGTCGGGCGCCTGACTCTGTCTACTCTGACGTAAACCTCAGACCCCTGGTCCTGCCTAGAGTCACTTGGGCCAGAGGCTGCCTAGTGCACCCTTGGGCCCTTCAGTTCCAACAGGACTTCCTGCAGACCTCGTCCCTCCTGTGACGGCCCACCACTGGCACCCAGCAAGAGCTGTCAGTCACCTGCACGGGGATGCACACCTTCAGAATTAAAATTGAACACAGAACACACTGAACAGTGTTTACGCGACCAGAGCCAACCGGAAAAATGCTGCAATGCTGCCAAGTTGAACGGCCCGACTACATACTTTGGTAAAATGTACTTGAAGAATGGTCACCCATGACAGCCAGGGTGTGAAATCCACTCACCCAGTGGATTTCGAGTTAATACTGGTACAGTTATTCCGCATGAATCTCACTGTGACGATGGACTAAAAAACGAGTAATTACGTGATGCTTTATTAACTTAATTCACTATATCTAATTATTTCTATGGTTCAGCAAATTATTTTTAAAGGGGGATAAAATTATTTGTGAAGAAAATATATTCAAGTTGTTTAAGAATATTAGAGCTAACTTAAAATATCAACTATTTTAAAATATGTCCTTTTCAGCCCCATTGCTAGAGTACCTTAATACAGGTCACCATGGAGAAAAACAGAAAAGCACTCAGATATGGAACTCAGTATCCATAATTAGAGGGCTCTATGATGAGGCATAGAGGCTCCCTGGAGAATAACTGAGTCTATGTTTTAAGCAGAGAAAATTCAGGGGGCTGCTGTGGATTGAATGTCCCCCCAAACTCACTGAAGCTTAAGTTGTGTCCCCCACAGTTCTAGGAATTAGAAACTTGACCCCCACTGTGACTGTTGGGAGTGTGGGAAATCCTATAATGGTAATAGGAAGGTGGAGCCTTGAAGAGGTGATTAGATTGTAGGACCACGCTGTAGTGAATGGATTAATAATGGTGGCCAGGAGCGTGGTTCTGAGGGCTTCGAAAGGAGAGCACATGAGAGTCTCTCTCTGCTCTGCCACTTTCTGCCATGTGAGACCCCTGCATTGCTGTAAAGCCACCACCAAAGAAGAACCCCACCAGATGTGTTCTCTGGACTCTGGACTTCCCAGCCTCCAAAACTGTAAACAATAAATTTCTTGTTCTTATAAATCACCCAGTTCCAGGTATTGTGTTATAAGCAGCAGAAACAGACTAATACCTGGCCCAAAACATCCTGCCTCTCAGAAGAAAAGATGCTTCCAAAGGCTCTAGGGCAGTGCAGAAAAGTCAGAGGAGGCTGCAGTGGCGGAACCTCAAGCAGAATGAAAAGTTAGAGTCAACGAGAACTCCTGACAGCTGTAAAAGCCCATCCGTCCCACGTGAGCCACACGAGCAAAGTTACAATCCTTTTTCTCTTCAAATATTTAGTGCCATCTAATCTGGCTAAGTTATTAAGAACAAACATCAGTCATGCAGATGCTTGGACCTCAACAGTCTTAGGCCTGGAAGAGAAGCCTGCAGGCATATAAAAGCTGACCCAGTCAGTGATCTACCAACAGTACCCAGATTTGGCTGGGCCACCAAACCCTCATGTGACACTCTCTTCCCACAATGGTACTGGGTGGCCCAGGACGCCTTTGGCTCCTACCTGGAGGCCTCACTCACAAGATTCTCGGGTGTCAGGAGGGACTGTGTGAGATCACGACAAGGCACGGAGAGGGTGTGAGAGCTCCCTGTCCCTCGATCAGGAAAACGCAGTAGCCTGTGTGGGCTGCAGAGGCCTGCCCACCCTAGAAAGCACATACGAGAAGCCCCTACCCCTGACTTAGCATCCAGATGGCACATCTTTGACTTCGTGTCATTGGGCAGGTGTGGGCTGATGTAGGGATGCACCAGAGAAGCCAGCTGTGGTGACCATTTTCGGGAGCAGGCTGGCTGTGGAGGTGGGAGGTGGAGGTGGCAGCAGAGACAATGTGGCTTGTAACCACAGTCCCCCAACCTGTCCCCCTAGATGGTCCCTTGGGCAGGCCTGTTTCTATTTCTATCGCTTCAGTCACAAAAACAGCTTCATTTCAGAAATATTGAAAGAGCCCATGGAGTAGAAGACAGGAGCTCTAAACTGCTTCCAGTCCGCACTTCCTGGCCTCGGGCAGCCTGCGTGGGCCTCCTTCCTTCTTTGCACCTTCTTTCTGGCTTGAGTTGCTCTTTCTGCTCTTAGGGGCAGCTGTGAGGAGAGGGCACTGGAAGAGAGGCTCAGGCTTGCTGCCTGGTTCAGCTGTCACCTGGTGGGGGCACCATGTAGGGTAACAATGACAGCAACTGTGTTGGGGTCATCTAATTACTGTCCCTCTGCCCAGCAAGAGGGACCACAGCATCAACTCTACAAGCCTGGCTTCCAGCATTCACCCCTTGGATAGGGTTTTTGCCCCTCCAGACACCTCTTGTAAGGCAACTTCAGGAGGTTTCCTCCAGGGTCCTAGTCTGGTTTCTGGTCAAGGAAAGTGCCCGGCCACTCCAGTACAGCCCACCTCCATGCTGCACCAGACAGGTAGTCCACCCACCACCTCTCACCTCTAGACCTTTCCAGGTGAGTCAAATACCAAACCCTATGTCTTTCAAACTCCAGGGAGACCACATGGGATTGATTCCAGGCATGCAAGAATGGGTCAACATTAAAAAATTATTAATATAATTCATCATATTAATAGAGTTAGGAGGAAAAATAATATCTCCACAGACACTGAAAAAGCTTTCATTAAAATTCAACACCTTGGGCCGGCCCGGTGGCGCACTGGAGAGTGCGCCACTTGGGAGCGCGGCAGCACTCCCGCCGAGGGTTCGGATCCCATGTGGAGACCGGTTCCTGCTCACTGGCTGAGCGCGGTGCGGGCGCAACACCGAGGGTTGCGATCCCGTTGCCGGTTGCGGTACGGGCGCGACA